TTTCCATGATACTGGACAATCTAATAAATAGTTTTTGCTAGTTCATGGGTAATGAAACCGATGCTTTAATACCCACCCATTGGAAAAAACAAACACATGAGCATAGAGCAATGGGTTAATAGCCAGATATAAGGAGGAATAGGAGGAAATGGAGGAATAGCATTGAGGACATATACATAAGTATATTAAGATATGTAAACCATGGATAGATTAGATTACTGGCAATTTATATTGGACCCAACCTAACATGGCCACTAACCACATTTTTTTTTTACTAATTTCGACCACCTCCAAGGAAATAAAAAGTAGTAGTCAGAATAACAATACCTAAAAGAGGGGTATTCCAGTTTCTTCAGTTATTCTTTGGGCTTGAAGCCTAACTCATTTGGCAGAGCTTTCCCTGGTTTATATTGAATTCCTTCCTAGTGCTCATATGTGAAGCTCTCTATGACTGGTTGTCCAGGCCTCAGAGAAGTCTCGCTTTTTAGGTACCGTTCCCAACATCCTGCTTTGGTTCCCTGGTGTCCTGCATCTTAGAACACCAGGAGACTGTCCACGGGCAGCACAGCATGAAAGCGTTATTAGATTTACTCACATTGTGCAGCCGTCACTAGGACCATGCAGGGAGTGTTTCAGCAGCACTCCCTTACTGGTCCTGTGGGCTAGAGGCCATACAGGCAGTCTGTCAGTGGGCAGGCTCACCTCTTTTCCTGGCAGGTCTGCCCTTTATGGGTGTACTTACTGACACAGATCGCATTCTTGGTCACCGCAAGGCATGGGTATTGATTGTCTCAATCACAGTACATATTTCCATTGAACATATGTAGTAGACTGAGAGACAAACATTAGATAGATTTGTATATGAGCACTAAGAACTTAGAAAATGGAATTCAATTGAAATCATGTATAATACAGAAAGCAAGGGAAAGCAGCACTGACAAAAAAGCTGGGCTTCAAGTATACCGTAAGCATAACCCCCAAGAAATAAGAATAACCCTTTTTATTAATTAGCTGCATTGCATTTCCTCTCTGCCCTGTGCCCTGAGCATTTTTATTAAAAGAGCACTATAGGGTAAGGAACACAAATATGTATTCCTGACCATATAGGGTTAAAACCACCATCTAGCCACCCTGGTCCCCTCATGCCTCCCTAAAAAAATAGTAAAATTTTACTTGTATTCAAGTCTGGAGCGCCTGGCTTTGTCCCTGTTTCCTTTAGACCTGCCCACTGCCTGCTGACATCAGCAGAAGTGGTAGCCTGATTCAATCACAATGCTTCCCCATAGGATTGGCTGAGACTGACAAAGAGGCAGATCAGGGGCAGAGCCAGCACAATTCAAACACAGCCCTGGCCAATCAGCATCTCCTCATAGAGATGAACTGAATCAATGAATCTATATGAGGAATGTTTGGATCCATTTTAGGCAGCCATGACCCAGGAAGGATCTCTAACAGCTATCTGAGGAGTGGCCAGTGAAGTTATCACTAGGCTGTAATGTAAACACTGCATTTTCCCTGAAAAGACAGTGTTTACAGGAAAAATGCCTGAAAGTAATGATTCTACTCACCAGAACAAATGCAATAAGTCGTGGTTGTTCTGGTGACTATAGTGTCCCTTTAACTAGTGCATTGCATTTCCTCTCTGCCATGTGCCATTTGAGTCTAACACTCTGTACTCTATTACTCATTTCATTTGGCGACCAATTGCCATTTGGTAATCGATCATTTACTGACACAATTACTGAAAACCGTACATTTCATTCATGATTTGTATTTGTCTTAAAATGAATGCACATGTCTACTTAAAGGGATACTATAGTCACCAGAACAACTACAGCATAATGTATTTGTTCTGGTGAGTATAGTCTGTCCTTGCAGGCTTTTTGCTGTAAACACTACCTTTTCAGGGAAAAGACAGTGTTTACATCGCTCCCAAGGGACACCTCCAGTGGCAGTCATTCAGACGGCCACTGCAGGTGCTTCCTGGATCAATGTTGCACAATATTCCTCATAGAGAATATTCCTCATAGGGATGCATTGATTCTAATTGGCCAGTGTGGTGTTTGGCTCTGCCTTAACCCCACCTACTTGGTTGACATACATACAAAAGCATTAGATTGGCTGAGATCGTCAATTCTGATGATCTCAGCCAAGGAGGCGGAGCAGGGGCAGAACAAACGCTGGCGGACCTGTGCTGCACTGGAATATTCGTAAGCTTTAACCCTAGTTAATGGAGGCAAGGGGAGGCCGGCCACGTAAATTGTATTGTTCTTTTAATATACAAGAGCTTACTTCTCATTTCAGTGGAGCACATAGTAGTTTAAACCGCAGTTCCATAAAGGAATGTTTATGTAATACACTAGCTTAGTCATACCAACTCCTTGATTGGCACCAAAATGGTTCATTTTTGGCCTGAGAGGCAGATCTTAAAGTTTAGGCCAGAGTAAATTAGCATATGTTTTATTGTACTCTTCATGCTGTAACACTTTATGTATGTAGCTATTTTAGTAAATGTGTAAAGAGAAGCCCAGACTCTGCTACCAGATTCTCTGTGTGTGGAAACATACCATAAACATTAGTATTTCATATACATGTGGTTCACCGCTGCTAGCGAATGCAAGATATTTCATTTCAGCTTCCTCACAATTTCTCAAATCCCATTGGAACTGCAACCCCCTGAGGGACTAAGACTTTAAAACTAGACAGGAAAGCTCACCATTTGGAGAAAATTTTCCACGGGTCTCAAATAACATTTGATTCTAAATTTGAATTCAAGATTCTCTCCGCAGGATCAACATCAATGCCAGTATTGTGTATTCTACAGAATAGGAATTGAAAACGCCAATACTTGCCCAATGCTATAGGACTTGTGTATAGCTAAATAGGTTCCATGCTTACAGTTTTCAAACCAATTATAAGGGGACAATATATTCTTTAGAAGTTCAGAAGTTGTAAATCACTCCAATATTGCCTAGAGAAGGGCATTAATTATCATTATTACCATTGAGTGTAGCCACCAGGGGTTAGCTAAGACTGATTTTACGTTGAGCTATATTGTCATGATGTGTACTATCAGATATACTGTATATACTCGAGTATAAGTCGAGTTTTTCGGCACATTTTTTGTGCTGAAAAACCCCCACTCGACTTATACACGAGTCAATGTCTGTATTATGGCAACTTACAATGCTATAATACAGACCAGGACCGCCGGGCTCATTACAAGCGTTTACTTACCTTTCCTGCAGCTCATGTCAGCTCCTTTCTCCTCCGCTCCGTTCAGCTCCACTGTAAGTCTCACGTGAGCCGCGGCTGTCAGAGCTTTGCCATGGGTTACCGTGGCAACGCTCCGCTCGGCACGCAGACCGAGACTTACACTTACACAGCCCCCCTCCTGCACAGTACACACCACTGGACCACCAGGGACTGCTATACCCCCCCCTTCCTGGCCATGTATCAAGCAGGGAGGGGGGACAAAAATATAAAATACAAATTTAAATAATATTATAATAAAATTAAAAAATAATAATATTAAAAAAAAATGTATATTACCGGTAAAAAAATAAATACAAAAATTTTTATATTAAAATAATAATAATAAAAAATAATAATAAAAATGCCCACCCCCCACCAAGGTTACACACTCTGCATCACATACACAAACACACACTGCACTCATACACAGACACTGCATTCACACACACACACACACACTGCATTATATACACACACACACACACACACTCTGCATTATATACACACACACACTGCATTCATTATATACACACACTGTAAATAAATATTCAATTAATGTAATTTTATTGGGATCTAATTTTATTTAGAAATTTACCAGTAGCTGCTGCATTTCTCACCCTAGTCTTATACCCGAGTCAATAAGTTTTCCCAGTTTTTTTGGGTAAAATTAGGGGTCTCGACTTTTATTTGGGTCGACTTATACTCGAGTATATACGGTAAGTAACTTTGTTTAGTATTAAGTTTGAGAGGTGATATGGAGCATTAGTTTGGAAAAAACAGGTTAGAAAAATATATTAGACAAAAAATTAGTGTGCCTCCTGATGGATAGTTGACTGTTGACTGTTCTTTTTTTTATTCTTTATTTTAGTAGTATATATAGTATACATGTATGCTTGCATAGCCACAACAGCCGGTGCAGGCTAGACATAGACATAGAAAACAGTTGTATGGCTTATTAAAGTTGCACATTTTTTTGAGTTAATTCATGAGAATGGGAACAAGCTAAGTCTGAAGCTGCTATGGTAGGTTATGTAGGTTGAGTTATGGTTCATTTCAATGTTGTTACACATAGCCCTATAGCATATGAAAAAGTTGTGCTTTGCTACCTGTTTGGTACATGGTTATACTAGTGTTGTTTGTTAATGCTGAATAATTACAGTGGGTTAGTTAGTGTGTTCAAGTTTAGTAAAAGTTTAGTAAAATTTGCCAGCACAGCTCTTGGATTGCCACAAAAATACCCGCTGCAATGGACAGCTGGTGGGCATAACTAAGGGGTAGAGAGTTTACCACTAGGAGGGAGCGCCCCAGTATCGGTGTCTTTAGTGAGGTGTGCCCTCATCGCTAGCATGGAGAAGTAGCCTAAACAGTTGATTGTAAAGCATAACATAAAAGTATAAGAGTAACACCAAATGTCACGGAGAAACAATAAAAATGTCAACATTTGCAGATAGAGACTATATGTGGCATGGGGTGATTGACTCATCTGTAGTATCAAGAGTCCCGGTCAGCCAGCCCCCGCAAGAGGTATACCACAGTCCCACTCTGGTGCCTTTGTGAGTCTTGGTCTTGGTCGCGGTGTGTGCTCAGGGGCGCCCCGTGTTGTGGTTGTGGGACTTTGTTGGGCTGACCTGGTGTTGCCGCCTTTTTGGGCCCTGTGCCTCGCCGTCTCCATTCCTGGTCTAGTGTCACTCCGTTCTTAAGTGAGGTGAGTCCCTTCTTGGAACCCTTCTGCTTGCCCGTGTGCCTCATGCTCCGAGATCCTCCGCACTTCCATGCCCTGTCTGCCGTCGAGTAGCACAGTCCGTGAGCAGGTCTAGGCCCACAGGGTCCTCTTCGTGTCTGTAGGTGTCGCTGCGATATGTGCCTCTTCTGACAGTGTGGAGCGCAGTGTCGGTCTTTGCCGGATCGACGGCGGGGCGGGAAGGCAGGCTTGCATTGGCGCCCTGCTTGGGTGAGTGAGGGCGCTGGGTGGCTGTGTAGATGCCGGTTCGATTGATGGGAGTGGGTGGTCGTGATGAGGCAGGTTGATTTAGCTTACCCACCAGCTTCCTCCAGAATGCCTCGAAGTGATTGTTTATTCGAGTGAGGATATCTTGTGAGGTGTCGCTGGGGTTGTCAGCACATGTTGTGTCCGCCATCTTAGGGAGGTCTCCGTTTACTGTCTTTGGCGGTGTTCCCCTTCTCATCATGCTCAGGGTCGCCACCCCAGGGTGGACCAGGATCACCCCCGCCGGTCCGAAGTGGGGTAGCAGGGCTTGCTTGTGCGGTGAGCAGCTTCAGGGTGCCTCCAGGACAGGGGAGTGGCTGCCTCCCCCGCTCGATGCAGACCAGGCCGCAGTGTTGGTCGTGATTTCATCTGTGCCCTCATTGTGGGTGCCATGTGGGTGCCTGGAAATGCTGTTTGTGTCACTTGGGTGAGCAGATTTTCACTTGTTTTGTCAGGATTTTGTGGGAGCTCGTGGAAAACACGACTTTCCGCCATGATGGTCAGACTCTGCCCCCGACTGTTGACTGTTCTTAATGCTGATTCTTTTCATTCTCTACTTGAATGTGAAGAGGGACAATAAAAGGTAAATACTTTTTTGTCTTGATAAAGATATCAAAATTCAAAGTATATACCCATCTGGTGGTGACTTCACCATGTCACTTTTGCATGAATGGCACTAATGGCTGCATTATTTCTGGATTATTGTAGAAGTATTGGGCTCCAGTGAATAAAAGTACATGTTATTACTCCTAGTTTTCTTCACCTGCCTAATATCTATATTCTGACCCATGCCACAGAACATTTTGTTATGCTTGGCACTGGCTCGTTATGACGGGATTTCCACCATCTGTTTCTGCTGAGGTGATTTCAGAGCTTATTGACATGCTTTGTTATGACCTATGACCATTCATATGTAGACAGTAGAGAAACAGAATGGTTGCTCTTGAAACAGAAGTGGAGGGAAAGTTTAAAAAGTCAACACATAGGCCAGACAAAGCCTGGGAACAACAGTACGTAGACGTTGGGAGAGGGCATAGGGCAAATAGAAATGGTAAGATTGGATAAGGAAGATAAAGATTTGATATCATGATCTTATCATATCATGAAGAGAGGAGGGAAGAGGAAATGATAGAAAATGGATGTGGCGTTGTTAATAGGGATAATTGAGGAAAACAGAAGGAATATATAAGATCAGATGAGGGGAATACTGCATATGAGGTGGCAAAACAATTCTTGGGTAATTAAATATTGAGTACCAACATGCTCTATCAAGAGTGTTTTTTTATAATATTAAGGACATTTTGTTGCCATTAAGTTGGAAGCTAAGTAAAGATATATTAGTAAATTACAGACTATCAACTAACAATATAACAAATATAAAATGTGACGGCAGATAAGAACCATATGGCCCATCTAGCCTGCCCAATTTTCTAAATACTTTCATTAGTATGGTATATGTAGCTGCATTGGTATAATTCCAATAGAACAATGACACTTGCTCAATTCTTAGGATCATTAGTCTTTATACAGAAAGACTGATAATCAATCAGTCTGTAATAAAGATGGTTATCTCAAATGATTGACTGACTGACTAACTAAAATCGAACAACTGCTATTTACTAAAATGCAATTTAAAAATTGTCCAAAAGGGAGAATTCCATTTGATAAAGGCTAATCCCTCCTAAAGCTTGTGATTAAATTGTGTAATTCTAAAATTACATTTTTCCCTTAGGGGATTTTATTCACATAAATGGAAAAATAACCTGTTTATTAAAGCCAGGTGTTGCCTCAAAGGAAATTTAACCCTTTGTAATACACATTTTTTCCTCTTCTTTCTGTTAATAAAGCAGAATCCACCTTTTGCACAGATTTTGTAGAACTCAATAAAAATAATGCAGTTTATTGTGGAAAAAAAATAAGTTTTATAGTTTTTAATAAATTTCTGTACTTGCTCAACCTTTTTTTATAGTTTGGTATTTAAATTATAGTATTATGATTAATAATAAAATATGAATGCATTTCAATGATTCATATGCTTCTTTAGTGTGTAATTGTTTAGTACAAATCAAGGCACAATTGTGAAAAAAACAAGAACTTTTTGATAATTTATCCCAATACAGAGGAACCATTTAGGACATCCATTAAATTAACTATTTCCAAAATTAACACAATTAATCTGAAATAACCATGTGGGGGGCTGGGGCAAGTTCCAAATGAGTTCTGCATTAAAGAAATAAGCCAGACTACTTGTGAATAATTAAAAATGGACAGATCACATCTTGTAGAAAACAAACAGACTACATTAATGCATTAATGTATTGACATGTGGCTGACCCTGTACACTATACTTCTAAATGGTTTAAAGACTTTTATATGAACAATCTAGACAGCACAGAACAAGATAAATAGATTCAATGAAATGTCATAAAACGTATGGCTACTGGCGTAAATATAGGGGTCACAGGGGTCGCAGCTGCTACCGGGCCCGTCACTCCAGGGAGCTTGGCTGCCCTGCAGACCCCTGCTACCCTGTAGCAGCCGCCATGTTTTGCGTCCCCGGCCCACGCAGCACTCCGCCAGGGCCGCCGTTTAAGGGGTCTATCGGGTGGCTCATGCTGTTAGATCTACCTGATGGAGATGGATTTTCAGGGGGCCCGGTCAGCACTTGGCGCTTTAACAGCGCAACCGGGCCCCTGTGATGACATCACTGCTGGGAGTAAGTGACCGTCCGTCACTCCCCCCAGCTCTCACACAGAGCCTGCGCGGGGGAAAGAGCAGGGAGTCAGAGTGGGAACTCTGACTCCCACTAGCCTGAGCCACCACTGGAATGTCACTCTGATGCACCTAAAAGGTAGAAAACGGGAGGGTGACTAAAATATTTTGTATATGTGTGTGTTTGTTTGTATGTATGTGTGTCTGTCTCTGTGTGTGTCGGTCTCTCTGTGTGTCTGTCTGTATGTGTTTGTCTGTATGTGTGTCTGTCTGTGTGCCTGTCTGTTTGTATGTATGTATGTGTCTTTGTATGTATGTGTATCTTGTGTGTATGTATGTCTGTCTGTATGTGTGCCTGTCTGTTTGTATGTGTGTCTGTGTATATGTCTGTATGTATGTGCCTGTGTATGCATCTATGTATGTATGTATGTATGTGTGTGTGTCTCTATGTTTATGTGTCTGTCTGTCTGTATGTGTGTCTGTATGTATGTGTCTTTGTATGTATGTGTGTCTTGTGTGTACGTGTGTGTATGTGTCTGTATGTATCTGTTTGTGTATGTGTGTTTCTCTATGTATGTATGTGTATGTATGTGTATGTGTGCGTGTGCCTGTTTGGGGGGAGGGGCCCCATGGATTCCACTGCGTATGGCCTTGATTTAATACGTTTTCCAAATTATTCAATACTGTTCGAAAAACTTTTCATATGAATTATCTGCAAATGTAAAAATTAAATCTATTGAGATTTTTGTAGATAAATCATTTGTAAACATTTTCTAACAGTAATGAATCATTTGAAAGCTGATTAAATCGATGCCTATGTGAGCAAACCCTATACTAGAGTCCAAAACAGCCCAAACTGGGTATTAATTTGAAACTGTTGTATGCTTTTTGACGGCTGCATATTTAACTTCAATAACCTTGCATGTACCTGCCATTTCGACTAATAAGTCCTTTAAACTTTGCTGGCAAGAGATCAGCATTACTGAACTTAGTTAAGTCCTAGTTGGCATCGTCTTTCTCTCTTGAGAGTTCCTGAGCATAAGGTATTTGAGTTTCAGAATATAACACGTTTCAAAGTTAATTAGAGAACCATAATTTTTCATAATTTTTCAGACAGCCTGTCCGTTCCATAAACCTACCAATGACGTGCAAATGAAAGCTCTTTTGTGTAAATCTGAAGGGAGACAACAAAAACAAGGCTATTCTGAGAGCAATTAAATAAAATATGGTTAATTAGGAGTCACAGACTATGTTTTAAAAAATTAAGATAATAAAAAAAGATCAATTTAATACTAACATAGTAACAACCAAAAACATCAACCATAATGCACGAGAGTGCAAGAACTGAGAGATTACTTAATGTATGAGCTGTAAAAATTTGTTTTTCTGATTGAATATAGACATTTATAATTGATGTGTCAAAGAACCCCTATTTAGGTGGATATATTCTAGCATGTAGTGATTGAAATCATTGATTGAGATAAGCACTATCACTCTCTCTGATCAGATTTAAGCGTGTCCATAGTAAATCATGTCAATATACTTGAAAGATTGCAGACATTAAATTAAAATATATTGCTTGTCTGTCACTACTGTCTTTTATTTTATGTTATCTTTCGGTTCCGCTCCTAGTTTTCTTATCTTGATTTTGGTTATATAGTGTCCTGGGGATTTTCTAGTTTATCAAAATTCCTGATCTGTATTCATACATTTAATTTCTGCATATCTTTGTTATCCAGATCCTGATACATACTCGCATATCTAGTAATACCTAGTGTCTATGCTACCATGATTCCTCCTAGCTTAGAAAGTTATGTCTAAGATTCTGAATTCCCCTCTTCCATATTTAATTTAAGGAATGTTTCTACTTCTGGTATCAGCTTGTGTGTTCCTGATATTTTTGCTTGTTGATTCCATTAGGTAATAATATAACCAGAGTTTTATAATATTGTTTTTGCTTGTTGATTCCATTTAGGTAATAATATAACCAGAGTTTTATAATATTAACCATGACTGAGACTTGACCTGACGCTTGTATGTGTCTGTGTGCAACTTGGACAGGACTATGATTACTATGTGTGCCCCAGTATCTATTCCAACATCTAGAACAGGCACTGTTGCTATTGTTAAAGCATCGTAATTACTGCAGCTCAGTATAATGGTTAGGGTGCTGAGAAACTGTCAAGATTCTCCTTGGACACCAAACACCAAGCCCATTGATCATGGGGAATTTACACTTCTACATTACTAGTATCAATCTCATCCAACCCATATGGTGATGAGTAGCTGATTAAGTGATGTAGGTGGAATATTGTTGTATAGCTTAATTGTAACATGAGAGATTCCAACTCAGATAGGTGGTTTACCTCTTCATGGAGGGAGAATTGTGGCAAGTAGCTGCCTGAAAAAGTATGTTGCAACCTATTTATTAATACCTCA